TTACAGTATCCTGGAGTCTACAAATTGAGTTGCATTTGTGGTGATTGCTACATTGGTGAAACAAAACGTCATGTGGCTGATCGTGTCCGCGAGCACAAGTCAGATCTGAAACACGGCAGAACTGATTCTTCGGCCGTTGCCGATCATTGCTACAACTCGGCGGGCTCTCATGAAATTGTCTTCTCCGAGACCAAGGTTCTCTGCAAACCTCCTGGCTACCATCAAAGGTTTGTACACGAAGCCATACAAATATACAAACACAGACATAATTTCAACCGTGATGATGGGTACAAACTCAGTAATCATTGGAAAGATGTTATTAACCACGCAAAAAAGACTTAATTACACTTTTTTGGACCATCCTATCTGACAGGCACTATTTTAATTAATTTACTTCACCGAGTGTTAACATCCCCACGTGCAGTCTTTGATCACCGCTCACCCTCCGCCCCGACACGTTTCCATTCATTGTGTTGAGCACTGCGTGTTGTCTTTGATCACCGCTCACCCTCCGTCCCGACACGTCTCCATTCATTGTGCTGAGCGCTGCGTGCAGTCTTTGATCGCCGCTCACCCTCCGTCCCGACACGTTTCCACTCATTGTGTTGAGCACTGCGTGCAGTCTTTGATCGCCGCTCCTCCTCCATCCCGATACGTTTCCATTCATTGTGTTGAGCACTGCGTGCAGTCTTTGATCACCGCTCCTCCTCCCCCCCGATACGTTTCCATTCATTGGCTACCACAGTCTGATAAGCTCTCCAACCCCCCCTCTCCACCTCCCTTCAACTTGCTTATAAGGGATTACATCTTGAATCATTGCTTCACTTGATGCAGCTAATTCGGCTGTGACGGTCCCACCTGATGACGGAGACTTGTGTTGCCTCCGAAACGTTGTGATTTTTATTTTATTTTTATTTTGATGTTTTACTTACGTGACTTAACCGAAAAAACCTAAGAATATGAATAAGGGTGCAATTGTGATGCGCACGTGCGCGCGTGTGTGTCTGTGTGTGTCTGCGTGTGTGTGTGTCTGTGTGTGTCTGCGTGTGTGTGTGTGTCTGTGTGTGTGTGTCTGCGTGTGCGCGTGTCTGTGTGTGTGTCTGTGTGTGTAGCGGTTAGCGCGCTGCACTGCGAACCTGGCGACCCGGGTTCGATTCACGCTCACGGTCAACACCCAGTGACGATTATCTGAACCGGTCCTGGGCCTCCCCTAGGTCGACTCAGCCTCAAATTAGTACCTGGTGAGGTGTGTAAAAATTGCCACTGGGAAGACAAAGGCGGTCGGGCGTGGTGTTGGCCACCCACCCCCTCGTGTACCGTTCCGGCCTTCATAGGTGCTCGCTAACAGCACTTGCCCCTACAGTCTGTTTCAGGCTATACGGGGGATCTTTGTCTTTGTGGGAGCGGTATTGTCGTTGGTTAGCGCTACGCTGCGCTAGGAACCCGGTGACCCGAGTTGGATTCCCGCTCACGGCGAACATCCGAACTCGTACTGGGCCTCCCCTAAGGTCGACCCCTGCCTCGAATGAGTGCCTGGTGTAGCGGTGTGTAGTAAACATCGCCACTGGGGAGACAAAGGCGGTCGGGCGTGGTGCTGGCCACCCACCCCTCCGCCCGTTTCACCGTTGCGGCCTCAATAGAAGCTCGCCAACAGCGCTCGCCCTAACAGCTTGTTTCGGCTATACTGGGGAGGGGTGGATCTTTGTCTTGGGGCTGTCCATAAATGACGTCACGCACCGAGGCGGGGGGGGTCAGACATGTGTGACGAGGGGTGGGGTTTGAGATATGTGACGGCACATCAAAATGCGCAACTTTAAATAAATATAGACAACGCGTTCTACTTAATTAAATAGACTTTTTTAATAAATGTTTTCTCCTACAACATCAGAGTGCAGCGCCACATTAAATACGCACCACAATGACAATAGTTTAAAGCGATTTGAAGCATGTTTTATTTTTTATGGAAATATGTTTTTTTTTGGGGGGGCAGAGCTTTGTGACGTCATATTTTAGGGGGGGGTCTGACTTTTTGTGACGCCGTGTGACTGCGGGGGGGGGGGGTCAAAAATCGTCCAAAATCGCGTGACGTCATTTATGGACGGCCCCCCCCTTTGTGTAAATCATTGATCATCATCAATCAGGTGTTCCTCCTTTGCGCGAGTGTTCGCCAATGGCACGGGATGACTGCAATCGGTGCGTGCAAGGTCAACGATGAGCAGGCAGCCATGGGGGGGGGGGGGGGGGTGCGAGTCGCGATTGGAGGAGACGCCGTTAAGCGACGATAGCTCGGGCGGAACGATTAATCGATTTCAAATCGAAATCGCAATTTGAAACAATGCGATGAGCAAATTGCGATTTGAAAAGTCTTACTACTTATTGTAATTGTAAAAAAAAACTAATTATTATCACGTTATTTATTTCACTTAACAATTGTTTTATGTTTGATTGTTCAATTTCAATTCACACATTTTAATAAATGGAAGCAATTAATATATTTTAAGTTCTCATCCTCGCATTAGGATATATATAGGCAGTTCATATTTTGATGGTAGGTGGGTGGGGGGGCTTGGGGTGTGGATAGGTGGGTGGAGAGGTGGATGGTGGGTGGGGAGGGTGGGTGGGGAGGTAGGTGGGGAGGTAGGTGGGGAGGTTGGTGGGGGGGGAGGTGGGTGGGTGGGTGGGTGGAGGGGGGAGGTGGTGGGTGGGTGGGGAGGTGGTGGGTGAGTGGGCGGGGTGTGTGGATAGGTGGGTGGGTGGGTGGAGAGGTGGGTGGGTGGGTGGAGGGTGGGTGGGGAGGTGGGTGGTTAGTTGGGGGGGAGGTGGGTGGGTGGGTGGAAGGGAGAGGTGGGTGGGTGAGGGGGGAGGTGGGTGGGTGTGTGGGCGGGAAGGTGGGTGGGGGGGGAAGGTGGGTGGGGGGGGGAAGGTGGGTGGGGGGGAAAGGTGGGTGGGGGGGGAAGGTGGGTGGGGGGGGAAGGTGGGTGGGGGGGAGAAGGTGGGTAGGGGGGGAAGGTGGGTGGGGGGAAGGTGGGTGGGGGGAAGGTGGGTGGGGGGGAAGGTGGGTGGGTGTGTGGGGGGAAGGTGGGGGGGGTGCCAACATAAGGTGGGGGCCGACCCATCGCTCACATTGAGCAGCGATCCCTCGATTTGTTGTTGAATTTCTCGCAAAGCACGACGGTTACAATGGTGAATGGTCTAACAGTCCGCGGATGTCTCCGCACCTCCCAATAGGCGAACACTTTACACGCGCGACTGTTAAACAAACACAACAACTGCGTGGCTGCGACGTTGTCGGCAGCAGAGGACCGGCTCCCAGCGAAATCCATTTTTTCACAATTTACACTGCCCCGACACGCTCATGATGCCGACCATTGCTCGCATAGCGCCCACGACCCGCACGGAGTTCCAATGCGGATTTCGTACCCGCTTCTCAAAAGGTGCGCGTGTTTTCTCAAACATGTTTTCACACACTCCTTGGTTCCTTCGGTGAAGTCACGTCGAAAAATCAAATCAAATAATAATCGAATACGTTGTTTCGATTGCAACACAAGCAACCGTCATTAGGTAAGAATGAATGAGAAAAAAAAACATGGTAAACTTAGAAACACAATGCAACACAACACAGAGAGCCGGCCAACACAACAGCCAACACCCCACCTGGCTGACTTTACCGAAAGCTTCGAATCTAGTTTTGTTTTAATTTCTTAGAGGACCACACTGATTTGCAATGAGGCTCTCTCTCTATACGGTATAATGTGACCCCAGTACATCGTGGTCCAGATGTCTTGTGACCCCCCCCCCCCCCTCAATTAATTGGGGGATACGCGACATCTGGGACATATTTCTCCTTTCCATATTAATTATATATTTTTAAAAACCTTTTTTTAAATTAACCTGACTTAATTTTTTTTTACGTTTTAGAGGATTATATGCGGGTCACAAGACATCTAGACCACTCTGTATTTTGGGAAAGCTCAATACCTCGTCGATGAATAGTGCTACAATATTTAATTGCGGTCGTGACTTGAGGCCTCGTCTTTTTGTTACTCTCTGGCCTCTCTCCATGTTCTGCGAAGAGGGGTAATTGTCAGAAACGTCACCTAATGTAAAATGTTGTCTTCTTAAGGTCAGTATCATTTAGGGACTTGCGTTTTTTGTCATGTATCCTTGTGCATCACTGCCAGCGCAGTAACACCAAGTAATGTTTTTTTGGAAACATTTTATATTTTAGTGGGGATTTATGAATGGATCATTCTGTATCCTGTACTGTACAGGGTGTTTAAAAAACATACACCCAATTTCAAAGCAGTATATTTCACGATGGCAACATGTTACAATTACACAAAAAGTTACAAACGGTTTAATGAGTTATCAAGTTTTACTAACCATTTTATAAATGCTCTATGTGCCCTCCACCTGTTGTACGGACAACATCGAGACAATAGTTGAATTAGTCCCAAACGCCTTTCAAAGTGTCTTCTTCCACTGAAGTCACCGCTGCCGTGATTCTGTTTTTGAGGTCATCCAGATTAGTCGCTCATGGTGGCACAAAAACACGGTCTTTGACGTCTCCCCACAAGAAAAAGTCGCAGGGTGTGATGTATGGGGATCTTGGGGGCCAAGAGTGTAGCGCCAAGTCTTGGGGTCCCGTGCGACCTATCCAACGTTGAGGCAGTGTGCCTTGCGAATGACTGAGGCTAGGGGCTGTTTGTGCGCTGGGAGAGGCATCTAAAGGTAATCATTTGAAACTCTATGCCCTGCCATCTCTATGCCCCGCCCCTCTATGCCCCGCCCCCTCTATACCCCGCCCCCTCTACGCCCCGCCCCCTCTACGCCCCGCCCCCTCTATGCCCCGCCCTTTCAAGTGGTAAGAATTTCAGTCATGGGCGGTTCGTGGTTGCAGAGATATAGCGATTTCAAATCGGGCCCATCCTTTCAAACACCCTGTATATTGAATGAGCATCAGTGTTGTGATGATGACAAAATGACTTGCATGATACCAATTCGAAAACAAATCCTTTATTTGGTACACGATAACATTACTATGTACTGTATTAACAATATCAAATGCGTCTGAATATCTAAGCAAACAAAGAAGCGTCATATGTGCAATTTACCAGCTGTAAGCTATACAAACACGAGACGCCAAAGATGTATCGTTTTTTAGCATCTGCAAATGAAATATATTTTTGTATTTTGAAAATAAACTAACATTCTGTGTTCAAATTACGGGTAAATTCTGCAGAAAATCACTTCGTAGTATTATTATACAGTTAATAGAAAAACAACATTCACTCTTGTGTTTATTCATGACCAGCATGATGCATTTTTTTTCTTACCTAATGAGCAGACTGTGACATATACACCGATTTCTAAACAACTATATTTAAACGATGCTATTTTGTTTTCTATCCGTGTCACATTAGGGGCATTCGAATGCTTTTTTGGTTGAAAACTTAAAGCAATAACGATGGGTCTACTTTTTTTAAACGATGATGGGCCTGCCGCCGCACGCGTTACATGTTGCCTATGCATCACGTGCACGTACAGTGTCGTACACATGTATGTTGAACTTCTTTCGCACCTTACGTCGCCAACCGTGCTAATCCGAGGTGTTGCAAATGCAAAAACTTCTTACAAATCACAAATACCATGGACATCGGCATTGTTTTGCACTTAAAGCCTATGCACAGGGTGGAACTGATGGCTGGCGACCCCTTTTTTCCCCTTTGCATATTCATTTGTTTTAAATAAACCTTACTTAAAACAAAGTTTTAGATAATTAAATGGGGGGTCACAAGACATCTGGACCCTCTGTATATGTATGTTGAACTTCTTTCACACCGTGCGTAGCCAACCGTGCTAATCGGAGGTGCGGGAGGACAACAAACTAATCAAAAATATGAGGCCAACTACTGTTTAATATAATGTACCTATATTCTTGGTTCATTCGGTAAAGTCACGTAGAAGGGAAATAATAAAATAATATAATATATCATAACAATCACACCTGATGATGATTGCTTGTGTTGAAGTCGAAACGTCGTGATAATTTGTATTGTTTTATATTAATATTATTTTATTATTTCCCTTCTACGTGACTTTACCGAAAGAACCAAGAATATGAATCCCTGCAGTCACGAAAGCTTTAAATCAAAATTATAATGTACCTGTTTCCTGTCTGTAGGGGAAACATCTACGAAACACCTGGAAGTCGATCAAAATCAATTGATGAACTAAATCGATTACTCGAGGTTCTTTTGAAAACATTGCAGCCGCTCCCAACATCATGCCTCCTGAAGGCAGGAAACCACCCAACAAGCCACGCACAGCATGACAATGCCTGATGACGCTACTCACAATCGAGCCCCCATCCAATATCTTTGGGACAGCCCACAGTTGGGAACGGAGGTGAACACGTATTTCCAAAATTTCATGTTAATCAGATTCGTCGAGTAATCATATCGGTGATTGTTTATCAATAATCTATCGCTTAAATACCGGAATAGCACAGTTCTAATCAATTGGCTTGGGGGGTTAGCGCACTGCATTGTTCAGGCAAATCTACCGAAATGTCTCCCGGCATCTGAAAGAGAATACATCAATCGAGATAGTTTGCCGAAAGGAATTGTCCCTTTAACTCCTTGAAATGTTTTTTTTTGTTGGGGAATATGAACTCGGCAACCTGAGTTTTTTTCATTCCTGGCCACAGCCAACATCGGTGGCAAGTTTTATCCGAACCGGTCTGCACCCACCCACCTCCCTCTCCAACCCACATTGACCAGCGTGGTAAAAGTATGACCGACACGGCATTGGGGAGGCCTTCATTCAGCAATGGATTGACGAGGGCTGCAAATTATACAATCGTACTGATGCAAACCTCACGTAGAGAGAGTTCATTTCACCAACAGGTCACCTAGGTTTTCGGATTTTTTGTTTGTTTAGGTGGGACACGAACTTTCCCATCGCATACGAAAAGTGGGCCAGCCGAATTTACAAAACCAGGCAAAGGGGGCTTCTGTAAAAACCTTTATTCTTGACACCTCACTCTTACGAGACCTTGCTCTCATGGAACCTGACAAAGATCGCACGGTAAGTAATAAACACAAACTCAATTGAGCACGTCATTCAAAAGGTGGCATATCTCAAAGCATGGTGCGCCAAACACAGCATGTGCAATAGTTGTGTACGCAACATCAATACATGAAAAACAATAAGTAGCCTGAACAATCAGAACGACGGATCTCATCACTGACGCTTCGAACAATGTGTCTCAAGTCGCGTCCACGTGTCCAGCCACAGGAATCGCACACAGACGGGGAATCTGCTGGTGGATTGACGCAATGAACCCGTGGCCTCGGGTTATCGGCTACAATTGCTCTGCTCGTCGCAACCTTGCACTCTTACTTCACTGTGTAACAAAAATTTGTTCCTGGGTAGTAAGTGTTATTTCCTAATTGGTTATGCGTCAAAAGTACAGAAAATGGGAATAATTCCCCATAAACTTTGCTTTTGTGAGCAGGACATTGATATTTTGAAATGTAACTAATTTTCAATGAAAAAACGTGTGCATTTGTGTCATTCCTTCACGTAAAGTTCTGGTCACAAAAGCAAAGTTTGTGGGGAATAATACCCATTTTATGTACTTTGAGGCATAAGCAATTAGAAAATAACACTTACTACCCAGTAACAAAAACCGTGTTACATAGTATTTTCCCACGTATAAAAAAACAACCCCATTTCATAATTAAAACATAACTGTAAAAACAAGTTAATTCTAGTCTCTTAAAAAAACACATGTATATGAGCCTCTCAAATAATGTCACCCAGGTGCCTGTGGTGACCATGCGATCAAACTGTGCAACGGTACAGCAGCGCCATATAAAAAACAACTTCATAGTTTGCACCGACACGTACAGCCGGTCATCGTGACAGGATAGGCCAAATATCTCCTCGGGCTCCGTATATGTAGAGGCCCTTCCCACTATAGCAGTGGTCAGTGAGCGATAAATTTCACTTCTGCACCTAAACCGGGTTTCTGTAGACTTGCACAAGCAGCGGGTTAATGCGTAATCACAGAGTAGCTCCTCCATCTGAAATCTGGAGACGAACGGTGGGAATCATCTGAATGGGGGCAAAAACCGTCGTAGTGGCAGTATCAACGCTCGTTGTAAATGCTCCACACATTGTACACAAAATATAAACAAGTATCCTGTTATCTTACCTCTACAAACAATACAAATGTTTCAAATGATAAACTGATCTAGCACAAATACTTGCGTGTTGAAACGTGCTCGTACGATCGCTAGTAACTCGTGCACAACCTGGCAAAACATTTCTGCCATGTTGGAGCGATCTTTGGTTTTTATTGTTCTACGTAATTGTGTTGTCCTCACATTTCCACATTGCACTTGCATTTTGTTTGACGACAAATTAAAACTATTCAAAGACTACTATTGTCGGCGACATTGCTAAAACGTGATACTCGGGGTCGTAGGCTCGTACAACGCCTTAGAAGAATTAAAAAAACCCCTACCAAACAAGATTTAAAAACGTGTTATTCGTCTTCAATGTCTGTATTTGATATCGTAAAAATGTCTCCTTTAGAAAAACATATGGAAACGTAATTTACATGCGACATTTTCACATTGATCTTGGAACACCTACATTTCTATTGAACGATTATGCGAAATATAATATCTAATTAAGGTGCATTTGGTGAACATTCTTCGATTTGATCACTAGGGTCATTATCATCCATCCCTTTCCAAATCGTCATTTGCAGTTAATTCAGGGAATTTGTTGTGAAAATATGAAATTTCTATAAATTATATTTCCCTGACCCATCGGTCATTGCAGACCTTCATTTACTAAAAACGAAATAAACAACGCATTCTTCCAACACGTCTCTCCCTAACTTAATTCTCAACAGAGGCTTTATGATTACTTCATGTACGCATGTTTTATTTCCCACGACAAATGGATGACACAACCATAATGTTTTAAAGAGGTGGCACACAGCTATAAACGGTATAAATCAAGGACTTTTTCACAGCCAAAGTGAGACGATATTCGAATATGCTTCATATTAAATACACATACTCTTCTTATGTACGTTAACATGAAGCCAGAAAAATGCTTCTGAATAGTCTCTTTCTGTTCAAACCCACACCTATGTACAGTTAAAAATAATATAATAAACATGCGTCCATTACAATTGGACTGACTGTACCAATTCATTAAAAGTATTCATAACTAAATTCGGTAATGTAGTTGTCCAACGCCTCTTTCAGACACCAACGTTCATGCCACATTTGTGGCTCTGAACCAGCTCAAACCGATATGAAAGTGAACAGTTTAACATATATTTCAATGTCTCATAAAATACATTTAGGTTTATTTTTGTCCACAGTGAATCTATAGAAATGTTGAAGTAACTTTCTCCAATACATGATCATTGTGTTCAATGCTGCATTTCTAACTCAAATGCTAACTAAACCAAAAATATGGATGTTCTTTTCTTCACACAGAACGGATGTTTATTTATAATCCCAGACGGTGACAGTCTCTCCTTAATTACCTCATTTCAAGACGTCTATGTCCCATCTACATTGAAAGCAGCCTGCCAAAGAGTTTGCACTGTTGTCCATCTTCCTTGAAATTAGTAAGCTTAACTACAATTCAACATGACCTGAACCCACACCAATCAACATACCATGACCAATACACTATTAATTGAACACTGCAGGGTTCCTCTGCAATTTTGCATAATCATCACTATCTTGCCAAACGTCAAGATGAGGCTAATTATATTTTTTTCACAGAAAAATTCCTAGAATATCACAACGAAGGGCCAGCCTTACCTTTATGGCACCACTGTCAAAATTCTGGTTCATATGGACGTGCTGTAGCTTATATCTAAAGAAGATAATAGTTCCATGGGCTTTACCTGGTAAAATAAAACGTTTATTTGTATTAAAAAAGTAAATTTGTATTTTATGATTCGCTTACTTTCCCTATACTTTGCACTCCTATCGTGAGTTTGTATTGTTTGTTGTTGAAATTTTCCTACCTGCCCCTACTGGACATTTGTGAAAAAGAGCATTGTAACTCATCGGATCCCTCCAGTATGAAGCTTCTGACACACACACACATGCACGTATTCAGTGTGTATGTGGTTCGGTGGGTGGCGCATAAACCTTGCGATCAAAGTTCGATTCCCTGCCATGGCTTACATCAGTGGCGAGTGATATCTGTACCGGTCCTGAGTCTTCCCTAGGTTTACTCGGCCCTAAATAAGTAAACATCAGCATTGCGGAGACAAAAGAAGTCATGCAGGGGTTGACCACCCCACCTTCTCGTGCGCCATGCCGGCCTTAAAAGGTTCTCGCCATTGGCATTTATCCCAACAGTTCGTCCAGTAATATATAGCAGAGGTCGCAACCAGGTACCCGATACCCGTACCCTACCCGATACCCGGCTACCCGTACCCGGCCGGGTATTCCAAGTTTTACTGTGCCGATAGGTGGCTTTATAGGGAAGCTTAGTGGCATGTAATCACGGTAATATTTGGCCAACACTTGGGTAATATGTAAAAGTAAAGCGTGCTTTGATGTTGTTCGTATTCAGGAAATTGCACATTTATCAACTCCAATATGAAAAATATCAAACTGTACTGCTGCCAATGTACGTATTGTATCTTCTGCACAATAAATCCTTTACAAGTAATTGCAATGAAAAGGATGTCACGTGGCAAAGAGTGACATCGTGGCGTTGTGCAATGCTCACTTGTAGTATGCAGGTAAATGTAGATACACCTCTGAAACATTGATCTTATCACAATAACCTGTTGATATGGTAAACATATGGCAAAAATAAACAAGCAATAAAAATGTAAATATACAAGCAAATTATAAACACTTGATTATATGGTTACATGTGTCGTCCATATTTAAACTCTTCCAGAAGATTACATCTCGCGGTGTTGAATTTCAGCCGGAGTTTCCCTGGGCTGAGAACTAGAAGAAAAACAAATCTATCCCCCCCCATTTCTTGCCACTTCTGCGAGGCAGGGGGTGTGGTATGTGGATAGGAGCCCCGGAAAAAATATTCCATGAGAAATTGAAAAACAAAATGGAGCCCTGATCTCGGACCAGGAGCGCTGGGTTAAACCATTCTTCACTTGTTCTCTCTGCAGCTCCTTTCCATGCGAATACAAAAAAAGTCTGAGCTCTTCACTTGGATGCTCCCCGTGTGTGCGAGAGCCTTGTTCTTAAACAGTCTCTAGGTATTCCAGTGCCACGTCGTAACAAAACTGGTATTGACTCTGCAAACAAACAAAAAACACACGCGCACAAATACTGAAACAGACATTTGCATTTTCATTACCAATTGTCAAATTGACTTCTAATGCTACACGGATTTTGTTCAGGGCCGGCCTAGCCCTGATCTCAGAGAGAATAAGACTGCTCTAATTTGAACTAGATAATTTAGACAAGACTATCTTGCAATCACACTTAACATTGACAGAAAAAAATGTCTACATCTGATTGGGACCATGTAGATCACATGACCGCCTCTTCAGCCGCCTCAATGTCAGCTAAATGCACCTGAAGACGATTGCTTGTGCTGCGATCGAAACTTCGTGATTTTTCTATCGCCGTGACTTTACCGAAAGATTTGAAGCTTTCGTGACTGCGAGGATTCATATTCTTAGTTTTTTTCGGTAAAGTCACGTAGGTAAAAAATAAAAATTAGTAAAATAAAAAATCAAGTAAGATGCAGCAGTCGTGCTTACGGTTCCACCTGAAGACGGAAGCTTGTGTTAGCTCCGAAACGTCGTGATTTTTATTTTGTTTTTTTATTTTACTTTTATTAATTTTAATTTTTCACCTACGTGACTTTACCGAAAAAACCTAAGAATATGAATATTTACCGAAAGACTCAGACAGTACGACTCAATACGGTGCCTTTCTCTTAGAAGCACAACTGGAATCCGGCGCCCCCTAGCGGCCGAAGATTCCCGAAAGGCGATGTGTTTGTTTTTAGCAAAGTTCCTCATTTAAAACGAAACGGTGCCCTCTCGTGGTGAAAATGATCATTTACATCCACAGCCCAAAAAAGTTGCGGCACTGCTCTGCCCAGACAGCTTTGCTATACATTGGCCGACTGCCATTTCTGAAGGGCATTGTTAAAATGTCTTAAATAAAACAAAGAGTAGCTTGCTTCTTGGTTCTTTCGGTAAAGTCACGTAGAATGTAAATAATAAAGTAATATGTTTTATTTTTATTATTTTATTATTTACATTCTACGTGACTTTACCGTAAGAACCGAGAAGATGAATCCCTGCAGTCACGAAAACTTTAAATCGAAATTTAAAGCGTATCTTTGTTTACCCCGCAAAGCCTCACTCGGTCTCAAAGACTTCTTTCGGGAGGGTACCGGCAGGTTGTTGCCGTTGGGGGCGATGGTTTCGATACAGATTAACATTGTAAAAATTTGTGGGTGTTTTCAAATTTGGACCATGGGAGAAAGCCATTGCTGTACTAAAAATGTATATGAAGGGTACAAAATACATATAACATCATGTGTTTTATATTTGTGAGTATTCACTATTGTACACTGGTTTCACTGTCCTTTTCTTTTGTAACTTTTACCACAACTTCATGGCTCCAAACATTTTAAGAGGTTATTTAATTCTCTCTTATGTTTAACAAGTTCCATCCATGAAGTGTTGGCTATATTTTTGACGCTGTTTACAGTGGGAAAGTATCACCCTGAGAAGAGTCTGATCTTATCAGATGCCAGAAGCTAAGCACGCTTGAATCTGGTTAAGTGGAATAACCAGGTATTCATATTCTTTGGGTCTTTCGTAAAGTCACGTAGATAGAAAAAAGAATGACAATGAAATAAAAAATAATAACAATATCACGATCGTTTCAATCGCAACACAAGCAATCGGCAAATGCAGAGCAATTAATGCTGTTGTTAATCATGACCCAGCTTACACTATAGTTGCTTCAGAGCCGTATTTGACTTACCAGAGTCTCCAGCATGTTTGGCTTGTTGTTCCGAAGTGACTTGATGGCGTGGAATACGTCGACGGCATTCTGTCTCTTGATCATCTCGCACACCACGCTCACGGCACAGAAGGTGCCGCACTGACCCGCTCCATTGCTGCGTCGGGGATCAAAAGTCACACGTGCGACGGACGTTTCAAGGAAAACCAAAGCAAATGCAGCGTAACCTGATATGAAGTTAAAATACTCATCTTCTTGGTTCTTTCGGTAAAGTCACGTAGAAGGGAAATAATAAAGAAAAAAAATTATAAAATTTTTTATTATTTTATTATTTCCCTTCCACGTGACTTTACCGAAAGAACCAAGAAGATGAATCCTTGCAGTCATGAAAGCTTTAAATCGAAATGTAAAATACTAATTTTAAGTTAACACAAATACTCTGTTGCCTTCTGTACTCGGATTAAGTTAAATAGCTGCATTATTTAAACTGGCATCACTCTTTGTTTTAGAATATTGCATTTTTTTTATCCAAAAAACATTTTATTAACCGCCCCATGTACACTCTGCTCAACTCAACCTACTCCTCGGTACTCGGCATATGAATGTATACTTTAATCATTTAAATAAATGCAATTTATATATTATTAAGCCGAGGAATATGGTTACAGAATCAAAATAATTCCATTGACCAACATAACCATTTATTGAACTATACGTGTTTAAATGGACATTTTTAAAAAAACTAATTACATAATCATAATAATTTGGTACATATGGTATTCACTCTATTCCTGTATTGCAAGGCTGCCAAGAAGGTGCGACGTCTCACAGACGAGTATAGTCTGCCAGTAGCTAGCGCTTTTGATTTGTGGTTTAGCCCAACTTAAGCAATTAGCCAGCACTATTCAAACTGGGCACACATTTACAGCAACGTCGGCAGACATGGTCTACTCTTTTTCGCGTAACGTTACTCGATCTTTAAACATCCACTGCCGAAGCAACGCAGCGCGTATTTACGGTTAACACACATGCAGTATTAACCAGGGCAGCCGCTGGGCTCGAACCACAATTATCTACAACGATGGAAAGCGTCTTTTGAGGCCTCGTGCGAATTGCTCTATGAGAATAACTTGATAAAAAAAGTAATTATTATTTACTGTGGCCATAAGGGAGAGGGGAGGGAGAGACAGAAGGCGGGGGGGGGGTGGGGTGGTGAGGTGGTGGTGGTGGTGTGGTCGGGCGCTCACAGGCAGTGCACCACCGTGCGGCCGTCCATGCCGTACTCCTCCCGCCAGCGCTCGGCCGCCAGCACGAGGCGCAGGAACGAGTGCCGCGAAGCCGGCACCTCCCGCCCGGCAGGCCAGCCCAGGTAGTGGAACTGCTCCACCATGCGGCAGCCATCCTGCGGCTGCCGGACCGCAAAGTGTTTTGCCGTCATCGTTGCAATGTACCCTCGGCCAAGGTCGATCCACTGCTGGATTGAAGGCTTTCCACAACCCCCCCCCCCCTCCCAAGCAAGCGTTCCGTGCTTTGGCTGGCACCGGCTCCGTCATTATTCACCAGCCATTTTCCATCATACATTTTGTTGATGATTGCCTGTGTATGTTTGAATGTAGAACTTCTTTAACACTGCACGTAGCTAACCGTGCTAAATCGGAGGTGCGGGGGGAAAGACAACGAACTAAACACAAAAATGAGTTCTAAAGAAATGAGTTTTCAATCTGGATTTAAAAGTGTTTCGCTGACCCACTTTTACAAATCGTGTATTATTTGTAAGTGGCAACTGGGCCGGCATGGGACTGGGTCCGACATTCTGCATTTCCAAGGCAGCCCGGTCTGGCTGCACTGATCCCATAGTCCAAGATACAGACAATTGGATTAAATTATTGACCTGAACTAAGGCCAGTGGGACTATTGCTATTGTAATGATGCAAGCGAGTGTGAGGGTTACTGGCAGTGTGGTACTGCAAGTGAGTGGCTCCTCTCTCTTCTCACCCTCTATTCTGTTTCCCAGCCCTCTCTCTATTTTCCCACATTTCTTCCTTCTCCTCACTTATCTCTTTTTCATCTGGATAAATATCAAACCCGGGCAAGTGCACATAACTAATCAGCCACCCAGGGATCAGATGGACACGGAGCAATAGGTGTGTGAAGAAAGCAGTGACCGCATTTCACAGGTGCTGGTCAAATCAGAATGTGTATGAGTCAGCTAGACTGCAAGACAAATAATAACAATAGCCAACACTTGGCCAGATGACCGAAGGTAACTGCTGAAGATGACCGCGAGTAGTGTGTTGCTAAATCTGGAAAGAAGAAACTCTGAACAAAAATCTGGTGCATAATAATAGGTTTTACCCTTTCTGGCACCTGTTTTATTTCCAGAAAGTGTAAAACCTATTCTTGTACTTGAATAAAAGCAAGAAAGGTCCGATGTCACAAAGCTCGTGTGTTTAGAACCACGGCGTTCTTACCCGGGCCACGTTACAGATGCGGAAAGTTCTTGTTATGATGTCTCCTTCCATGTTGAATGCCACAAACTCGACCTGGATGGGTCCGTGGCAAAGCATACCCTCTTCTGGCCAGTATTGAGGACAGTACTGCAACCGAGCATGGCCAGACAGAATTGTCAGAGAAATCGTTCACCTGGGAAACTCAAAACAAGCGTCTTTCCCACTCCTTTTTTGACACAATCCAAAAAAGTTTCTGCTAAACTCAACTTGACAGCATATGCAATAACACAAATTACACATTTAAGACTTTTTGTTTCAAATATTATTAGGGAATTGCTGTTATTACACGATGTCTATACCCAGTAAATGAATATAACTCATCTAAGCTGTGCAGCGGGAGAGCGTGCGGCTTGCGATTGGAAGATTGTGAGTTCAAATCCTGGTTGGGGTCATTAAAATGAGTGCCACTTTGTAGATAAGTCAATATATGGTAGTGTTTTTTTTATATGGAAAGACTCGTTCCGTCCCATAGCAATTGGAGATGACCACCACTTGCTTGTCGGTAAAAATAAGAGGAGCCACTGCTCCTTTGCTCAATTGAGTGGGAAACCACGTTGACTTCGACTTTCAAACATGAACTTAATTATGAGACGGTTAAGCTCCAGGAGTGCACATTGTGCATTTATAAATTGGCCACATGAGGCAGCACCATGTAGGGCACCGCGGTGGCGAGATGTTAACTCCCTCGCCTGGTATACAGGAGGTCGTGGATTCGATCCTGGCCCTGACGCCTGCTGTATATTTGGAGTATGCATGTTCTCCCCCATTGTTGCGCGGATCTTTCACGGGGTCCTCTGGTTTTTCCCTCCACATTTTGAAAAATGTGTCTTAAGAGTATTTTGTCTCAATTTCCACGTGACAAGCCACCTCGTTGAGCTATCATTTGTGGCCAGGTCGCCTCTGTAAATGAGCTACAAAGCTCATTTGGCATTACCTGGTAAAATATAAGATAATCTGATAGTGCGTTGTCTTTGAATTGTGCGCCTTTTGGCGTCATCTGGCCGAACACCATATGAGACTAGGCTCTAAGGAAAGCTGTCTCTGGTGTGGACCAATCAATTTCAAGGACAATGCATATATTATCAGAGTATGTTTTTTGTTTGCATTCTGACCGCAGGTATTGTGGTTAATGTAAACGTGATTCCTCCATAGAAAGGTTTCAGTTTTGTTGCCAGAAAAAAGTGGGAAAAACCTATTATTATAGGATAAAAAGTTTAGTTAAAACTACGAATTTCCGAGCAAGTTGTGCATAAAACATAATTTTGCATCGCCGTTGCCCACATAGGTTAGCGCGCCGAAGGAGAAATACCCAGGACGTGGTGCGCTCTCGTACCTTATTGGAGTCCAGCTCGTTGAGCATGACGATGGAGGTGCAGTGGTAGTCAAATACCAGCCGCCAGAAGTCCTTCACGGTGTTGGGCAGTGGGTGCTGCGTGACGATGAATGCCGACGGTTGTCTGTAACTCTGAACGAGAATTAATGATATGAGAGGTGGACAACATTCCATTACAACTATTACAATCAAGGTTATTAAGTCAGTGTGGGCAGCTGAATAAAAATGTGCCCATCAACCACCTTGCCTCCAGCTTAACCTGATTTAGCAGAATTCCAAGGTCGGCTGCAGTGCACAAACTGAAGTCATGATTGATAGCTGTGCAACGCAGCTGCTGTTGTATTTTTGGCTACAGATGACCTTGTCACTTTTCCGTAATGCAATTAGGCTTCGGGACGGGTGGCGCGCTGTGGCAGATGTTCTCGTCGCCCTGATCCACATGCACGTAACAGGATTTCAGTTAGGGGCAACAAGCTGTTATCGGCCTGGATTGCATCCTTCCATCATAAATACCACTTGTGCACAATTTTTTAGTGATGCGCCGAGGTGCATGCTTTTTTTGTTTGCTATGAATAACAAAAATAAAACACAACCGCTTGTTTATATTATAAGAACAAAAACCAAAAATGGAAAATGGCAGCACGATAGGGTTGTTTTAGGCAAAGAAACGGTTTGTGAAAATTAAATGCGAAAACAATTGTCTAATACTCTTTGGTTCTTTCGGTAAAGTCACGTAGGTATAAAATAAAATAAATTAAATCACGACGTTTCGGGTGCAACACAAGCGTCCATCATCAGGTGGGACAACCACAGCAAGAAACAATTGCTGAAGTGGGCAAAATGGCTGCCGTGACAAGAGGCTATATAGGTAAGAGAGGGGGGGAGGAGCAAGGGAGGAGAGATAGAGAGGGGGTGTGGGGTAGGGGGAGCTAGAGGGATTAGAAGACGAGCAAGGCAAAATGCCGGGAGGGGGGGGAGTGGGCGGCGCTGGGAGTGGGAGGCTGAAGAAACTGGAGATGCGGATTTGTTGGCAACACCATGAAGCATATTCTTAGGTTTTTTCGGTAAAGTGACGTAGGTAAAACATTAAAATTAATAAAAGTAAAATAAAATAAAAATCACGACGTTTCAGAGGCAACACAAGTCTCCGTAATCAGGTGGGACCGTCACAGCCAGATTTGCTGCATCAAGTGAGGCAAGGATTCAAGATGTAATCCCTTAAATGCAAGTTGAGGGGGGAGGAGAGGGGGGGGAGCTCATCAGAATGTGGTAGCCAATGAATGGAACGTATCGGGAGGGAGGGGGGCGGGGCTCAAAGAAGGCACGAAGTGCTACGTAGAACGTATCGGGAGGGGGGCGGGGCCAAAAGGATGGACGACGTAGTACACGAGAGTCGGCGGCGTGGACGCAGTTAGCAACCTCCCGCGAGCCAGCAACATTTCTACTGCATGCGATATGAAGAGCACCCGTCCTTGAACGACGGCCCCAATGTCCCCACACCTGAGTGCCTCCCTCTCAAGAGTGACAACCCCCAGGGCTTCACCCCCTCCCCCCGTCCATGCTGTTACCCACGTGGCTCCAGGCAGCCTGCACACTGGGTGGTGCGTCGCCAGTCGAGCAGCCAGCAAAACTTTTTAAATGATGTAATAGCACTGCCCGGGCGTTTTTTGGGTGTTGCAGCGACGCACGAACTCCGCTCAACGCTGTGGCATGCGGGTGATGCCATCGCGTCGGTGTGAGCGGTAACTTCACCACCGCGTGCTTTCCCCACTCGCAAGCCAGCCAGCAAAACTTTTTTGTTCTAAATATAGTTACGAAGATGATTCACGGTGGACATGCTGTGATGTTTGCCAAGGGAAGAACAGATGTGTAAATGGCCACGTTTTCAAAGTGAAATGTCTAAAAATGTATTTTATTGTGCTACATTTAAAGTATAAATCATTAAAACCAAAGGATGAATTGTTAAATGTGAGTGCAAAAAATCCAATCCAGGAAACCCATGAGTAATACAGCGATCCATTGGGGATACATTCTATGAAAAACAACATTATAGTTCAAATCCTCGACAGGTCTTGCATGAATCTCAACAACTTATTACATCTTTTAATATTTCGATTTAAAGCTTTCGTGACTGCAGGGATTCATCTTCTTGGTTCTTTCGGTAAAGTCACGTAGAAGGGAAATAATCAAATAATAAAAATAAAACATAATAAAATAATTCTCACGACATCTCGGCCACAACGCAAGCAGCCGTCCTCAGGTGGAGAGCAGGTCTGTCGAGGAGACAGAGTCTGAATGACATTCTGAATGACATTCAGACAGACCTGCTCTCCACCTGAGGACGGCTGCTTGCGTTGTGGCCGAAACGTCGTGAAAATTATTTTATTATGTTTTATTTTTATTATTTTATTATTTCCTTTCTACGTGACTTTACCGAAAGAACCAAGAAGATGAATCTTTTAATATTCCTGTAAAATATGGACCCATCGCTCGCACATTATTTAACCACTCGTTGAGAAGAGGGTCATTATAAATCAGGAGGGAATCATAGAAATGAATAGTCCTGCATGTAACAAAGCAGGCAAGGCAGCGTGGAGTTACGCACGGACAAAACCGCGCCAAATAACGCAGCCCACGTTCGCGAGCGTCACGTTGCACGTGTATAATATACACGTATGCATGTTGAACTTCTTTCGCACCGCACGTAGCCAACCGTGCTAATCGGAGGTGCGGTGGCTTTCTCTGCCATTCGCATCACGGACCCTCGTCATCCTCCTGATCTTGCCCTGTCCGAGACGTTTTCCCAGCCACCCCTCCCGTCGCACAGCGGGGCCGCAGCGCGACGCCTCCCTCCGCTTACGTCCATGAGCGCCGCGTTGATGTAGTTGCTGCTGTCCCCGTTGATGGTGATGAGGAAGGGCAGGCAGCGGTCGGGGGGGAGCACGTCGTGGTAGCGGTTCTTCTCGTGGTTCCGCGGCAGCAGGGCGATGCTGCAGTCCTCGACGCGCAGCGGCGGCGTCACCATATTCAGGGTCTGCGGGGTTCAGGGGACGGGAGCACTGCGGTGTTTCCCTTCGCTCTTACGGCGCGGTGCGTGGGGCGCTTGTTAAAAGGTGCAGCCCTGCAATGTCTTCCGATGTCTCTGGGGGGAGGGCGTTGTGGTGGCGAGATGTTAACTACCTCGCCTGGTATACAGGTCGTGGGTTCGATCCCGACCCTGACGCCTGCTGCTGTAAATTTGGAGTTTGAATGTCGCTCTCGCCGTGATCGCGTAGATATTTCTCCGGGTCCTCCGGGTTTTCCCTCCACATTTAGAAACGTTCTATAAATTTCCACGCGATAAGCCACTTTGTTGAGCTATCATTTGTGACCAGGTCGCTTCTGAAAAAGAGCTGTATAGCTCAGTCGGCCTTACTTGGTGAAATAAAAAAGGTTAAATTTCGATTTAAAGCTTTCGTGACTGCAGGGATTCATCTTCTTGGTTCTTTCGGTAAAGTCACGTAGAATGGAAATAATAAAATAATAAAAATAAAACAATAAAATAATTCTCACAAAGTTTCGGCCACAACGCAAGTAGCCGTCCTCAAGTGTAGAACAGGTCTGTCGAGGAGACAGACCTGTTCTACGTGACTTTACCGAAAGAACCAAGAAGATAAAAAGGTTAGTTTAGTCTTGCTCACACCACTGCTGATGGTAGGGCCTCCACTGAAGGGAGTCCAAGGGAAAGCCTGTAGAGGATATTTTGACTGACTTGCATGCTCATGGCCAGGCATCTTGGACATATCTACACTTTACGCTACCACACACGACCTGCCGAACGACTTACTGCGTGTATCTAATTATGCTGCTGGGTTCACAGTCCGGAGGGGGGAAATTTAAGAAACTTGCACCATTGTTTCATCTGCTGGGACCAGGAGATCGAACAGAAACATTCTTACATCGTATCCAGCGTGCAAATACGGTGGATGGTGCTGCATTTGGATGTTTGGCCAATGCCGCAAATGAGTGTGTTGTGGCTTCGCGTTGGAGGAAACCTGAGCACCCAGAGGAGTGCGACCACATGTGCAAAGGCGGTGAGATGCTCAGCAGTGCCTGTGCCAGCCACCTTGCAGCTCCACGCCTACAACGCCTGGCAAGCCTTGGTTGTAAATCGCTAAAGTACTATCCGGGCTGAGACCGACGTTATCTTCCCGCACCTCCGATTTAGCACGATTGGCTACGCGCGGTGTTTAAAGAAGTTCCACATACATGCGAAACGCTCTAGATCTGATAAGATCGAGTGCATTTAGACGATGCATTAAAGCATAGCATATAGTAGAGTATATTCAAGATGAACTGCTTCATATCTGTCCTGGGTTTAATGCAGTTGGGTTTTGGAAGAGCTCGCAATTAATTGAGGGACTTGGACACAGTGCCATTTATTGAGTTACTTGGCATGCAAGCAAATTGGTGTTGGCTGGTTTATGTAGCCAACATGTCCAGCCACTGCATACCCGAAGCAGCTTCTGTTTGGAAATATACAGGACTCAATTTCAGCCAAGTCTGTGCCGGTTGGCAACACTGGAAATAATTATGAACCTGGCCCACCACACCCAGTATACCTGAGGCTAGTAGCCACATACCTCCTCCAGTCTATCGGTGACTTGGAAAATATTCAAAGAGAAATGAAGCCCTAAATGGGTATGGTAAAGGCTGGAAAACAGGAGAATTTGGAGCCGAATTGGCAAGCCAATAATTATTACCAGAGTCTCATCATTGAGCTCTTTTAAGGGGTGGCATGAAATGCGCCACTTGACTGCTGGCAACAGCTGCACTCCAGCAACGAGAGGCAGAGACGTCATGCTCCCAACAAAGGCCAGGGTGTCAAGTGGCTAAAACAGACAATTGGCACGGTGATAACATCTGCTTCTTTGCTGTGACCGCCTGCCTTCAGAATGTCACATGGTCTTAAAGTGCACCTAGCCTGGCAAAAGCTTGGTGGTGACACCACTGTCATTCATTGCTGAGTGGTCAATATTGTTGATGTTTTATGCACATGTATGAGTCTATGAGGCTTATTAGCATGAGATTCAACTGCCAAGCCATTGACGACCTCCAGATTATAAGTCTTGTGCGATTTCACCATTGCACCGTGGCAGCTCCTGCGGCCTAAGGGTGACCATCAACCAATTCTGGCACGTTCTGTAAACGCGACGGCCGCTGGCTGCGCTGTTCCCGTCGTACCTGAAACTCGTCCTTGATGTGGTTGGAGCTGCTCTGTGGGTCGGGGCGCAGCATTTCGGCGTACGCCGCACGGAAATCCCCGGCAGGGATGCACGTGTCCCCACACAGGCACGCCTCCAGCATGGCATCGTGGATGAACACGTACTGCTCCTGCACGCGGGCGTGGGACACGGGGATTTAGCGAGACAAATAACACACACGGCAACGGGTGACGGCTGGAAAATGAAAGGCCGTAATCGTTGCACTGCGTGCGGTATTCTGCGAAGTGAATCCGAACTAAGTATGGCACTTAAAAAATAATCCGAGCTAAAAGATTATAACGATCCATCAAAGGATTTCTACGCAATGTCAGGTTTCTCAGTTGTGCTCTCTGTAGCTTTCCGATGTGATTTCGGGATGTAGCAAGTGCTGTTCGGCTCCACATGCTTGGGAGGAGCTTCTTCAGGAACCGAAACCGACGAAGCTTCTCCCATCACATGGAACGTTGAAACGTCAGCTGTCACGCAACCCAGGATGCATTGCATAGCAACATTGCCCCCTACTACGAAAACATGGCAGGGGCTCCTGCTATAAAAAAGAGAGTCGAGACATGGTGAGGCTTTCCCATGTAAATGAGTTTCATAATAACAACAACCACGATCAGAGAGGTATCGATCAAATCAAAGGGAATGCAAGCGCCGTACCTCTGTCTGCACCATGTTGACGCGCCTGGTACGCAGCTCCCGCACGCAGTTGTAAATGTCGATGACGCCCTCGCTCTCTGCCATGTCCAGCATGATGTCGATCACCATGTAGCAGCCGGTCCTGCCAGCCCCAGCGCTGCATGGCACCCGCCACCAAAGCATCGTCGCGTACGCGTCACGTCTCAAGAATCACAACTTTTGAGTGTCTCTTCGCCACGGCCGTGCAATGCCATTCTCACAACTGCGTGCGGGAGCTGCTGATTTTTTTCTGCAATGTTTTGCTGTCTTTTCTTGGATTTCTGTTTGCACTTAGTCACATATTCACTTTAAGATGTTTTTTGTTGATGTTTTTGTTTTTTGTTTGTTGCGGTTGCACCCGATTCAAGAGCCGAATGGCTCACAGGGCTCTATACCTAATAAATGAACTTGAACTTGAACTCACGTTGTTTGTCGTTGCTGTTGTTGTATGCCTGTTGTGTGTCACGCGGCCCTATTTAGTTTAGTGGCAACACTGCCAGCTGCTGCCAAATGTTTCGCGATTGATGTTAGGGTCAGCTCCAGAATATGTGTCTTTACTCACAGCCTTTGATTACGAAAAAAGCAGCGGGAAACTATTAACAACTTTTCAAGCTTAGGATGAGTTCATTTCCTCTGAGGGTGTTTACTAAGTGGTGTACATTAGTCTCCTATTTCTGATATGCAAACTCATTTAATAACCCTCCCCTGCCCCCCTCCTTTCTCCAAAAATGAACTCACCCTTGTCTACATGAAAGTTAAATGTTTATCTGCCTCAGTTACTTGGGTTTCCTTAAAGTTCTCGGGTTTTCTTCCCAGGGTTTTTCAGTCGGTCTAACCGATGCCTTTGCGGTTAATGTGTACAATTACACTCGCCACATTACGACGGCACACCTACTACGAAACCAACGTTGCTGCATTGCTTCGAAACCACTCTCGGATTACATCTACACCACTTACACATCACAGCAACATGGCCAGATAACATCACGACTACTCACGCTATTGTAATAATAACACCACCTACTCCGTCACATCTACACGAACACCATCATCCTCCACTCACTGTATCCACTCATCATTGTTTGGGACAAATTCGTGTTGTGCTTGTGGCCTTCATTTCACCACTTTTGTTTGTCTTGGAATGGCCTGCAAATTCTCCAAATTGGGAAAAGAATAACAATGAAAAGAATCGCAATTTGGAATTCACGTGTGGCTGGTTCCACAAAAAAAGTACAGAACCATCCCTGCACGACTCACGGCACACTTGTGAAATGGCCCCAAGTGGTCTAATTGTAACTTTCCAGACGAGCAAATGCCAGTCACACTCCGCACATGAATGTGTGTGCTGCTTTCTTTACGCTGTATTTCCGTTGAAGCAAAACAAGAAGAATGCACATGGTTAATGAAATATATATGTATTAAATGAAAGTTGACGTGCTCTTTTAGAGTGTATAAATAATGTAATATGCATGTATCCCTTGAGAAAAAAAAGGGTCGAGGCTCCTCAGCGGAGCTCTTATGCGATTCTAAATAAAGACTTGCTGGATTGATTGGGTCACAGGGAGAAAAGGTTGCAATATTAATGCAACACAAAATCATTAGTGGCACACCCACGGGGGTGTCTTGAGAGATTGCTAATTTTACTAGGTTGTCGTTCCAGGACCACCGTTAAGAATTCAGTCAGGCAGACGCTTAAGCGTGTGCGAGCCCGCTAAGCGATACGCCTAGCGTTTGTCAGAAAGCTCTGAAATTTAATTGAAAAGAAAAATCACCCGGCGAGAGTCGCGGGGGTCATCGCAGCCATTGTCTTTGATGCCAATGCACATCACCACCGTCCATTCTTTACTGTTGGGAGATGCAACAGCTGTTGGAACGTTTAAACCCCATTCTCTTTATATAATCCCACCTCTGACTTGAGGTCTTCCTCTCCGTTCCGATCTCTGGGTGCTACTCTCACGTTTGTCTTCACAAGTTGCCCTCATATTCTTCATAAGGCTATGATTGTGGCATGGAGGTCACATTGGTCACGAAAGGCACACATTTGAATAATTTCCATCAAATATTTGGCGGGTAGGAGGGAGGGGAGGGAGCGAGGGAGGGAGTTGCATAGGGCTGTCCCTCTATGCAAAGTTGGGAGCACCATATTTCCATCGTATTTTTTTTGAAAATCCAATGGAAAAGCCCCCCCCCCCCCCTCCCGCAAATTAAGAACATTGCCCAAGTTAGCCATTTGAGTTTAAGAAAACTAAATTCGAGAGGTCATTTCTACAGTTTATTTTGATTTAGAGAAGTGTATTTTTAAGTCACTGAAAAACCAAACTTTTAGGTAGGTCACTGCCCCCCCCCTCCTCCCCGTTTTCTTTCACCTTTACGTGAGTGTTTTCCCCCCCCACATCTGGGTGATGAATGTTACTAAACATTACCATGACAAAGTGTAGCCCTATCCATATCTGTCCCAGGCAACTGCAACCTTATTTTCCTAACCTGCAATACCGCCTTGCCGAGTTCTACACAGTATCCGGTGACCTTTCACCGACTGCCAATTACTAAATCCTTTATATTAAGTTCACTTGCTTGCTTGCTTGCGCGCTTATGACCGTACAAATCTTTCGGTCGTTCTTTAACCCACTTCCCGTGATCCAATCGAGCTGACATTTTGCACACAGACTCGTTGTGCGTGACAATTTATTTTCGTGAAAAATTTTTCTCCAAAATTTTACACTTTTTAGGAAAAAATTAATTATATTTAATTACCAATTGCTTAATGCTGGCAGACAATCATCTGACCCATAGGTGGCAGCAATCTCAAGCCAGAGGACGAGAGGACTCTAGCCGCCACGCATATAAAGGATTTATAGTGAAAAACTTTGTTTTTACGGGTTACATTTTTTTTTTTACCTGGCTACATATAGACGTCACACGAAACAGCAACTGATGCCGCATCACAAACGGTCCCGGTGCCAGATCCTCACCTGCAGTGGACAACCAGAGGCCCTGCGTGCGGTGGGTCGAGGGCCTTGATACGGCGGATGAACGCGAGCAGTCCAGTGGCGTGGTACGGCACCCCGTGGTCAGGCCAACCCGTGAAGTGGAACTGTCGCACCTCCCGGATGTCCTCCTGCCCTGCCTGCAACAACAACAACATCGTCAACCATGGTCAATCCGCTGCTGGATAAAGACTCCCCCAAGCCGTAACTACCTCGCCTGGTATACAGGAGGTCGTGGGTTTGAGCTCGACCCTTAACACCTGCTGTAAATTTGGAGTTTGCCTCTTCTCCCTGTGTTCACGTGGATTTTTCTCTGGGTTTTTCCCTCCACATCTAGAAACATGCTACACATTTTCACGTGATAAGCCCACTTCGTTGAGCTATCATTCGTGGCCAGGTTGCTTCTGAAAAAGAGCTATATAGCTCAGTGGGCCTTACTTGGTAAATACACACGGTCGCACTACATCGATGGGGTAAGGTTAGGGCCATCTCAGAGGGTCCCTGGAGGACTGAGGCTGGATGCAATATGGGGCCCCCTTATTTATTCGCAACAAAAACACAAAGACACGTTGTGGGGTCCCTCCTTTTTGTGAAACCTGGAGCAAATGAGCCCTTTTGCTACACCCCACTCTGCACAACCCTGCCTAGGGTTGTCTTGCATCCAAAAGTGAACACTTTTTGTGGTCAAGGATTGAGAACAACATTCAAAGAGCAGGCCAAAACTACATTAGCTTCACAACCATTTTCTCTCATCAAAATTCCATAAGTACAAAGAAACCATGAAATCCCTTTATAACGAAGCTGGTGAGGTTTGCAACGTACATTTGTAAGCAGGATTTTAATATTTCAGGTAAACGTAACATCATCCATTTATATTTGATGCGTCTTTTCAACAAATTCAGGGTGACGTTAGTAATAGCGATACACTTGTGTATCAGTCTTCGTGATATGTTTGCTTAAAAACATAATTTGCAGCCCGTTGTCAAGCCACTTCTGGGTGGATTACCCACGCAGTGTCAGTTATGGGGGTTATTTGATCCACACTTCAGCAAGCTGGTAAGCGTACGTTGGCAAAGCGGAGAAGGGCACACAAATGTGCCGCTTGCACAGATGCCAGGTACGGGCAGGAATGAAACTGTTCACCAGGTTCAGAGCACAATGAGCTGACTCCACTGCACCGCTGGTCCACTCGTGCAGTGAAATCGTGCATTTGAATCTCCTATTTTTGGAGACCCAGAGTTTCGAAATGTTTTCACTTTGTCAAATGTAACCTTGCGTTGGATGCGACGTTAATTTGATTGTACCATCTGCTTGCAAACATTAATTAAGAGTAGTTCACCGTGTGTCAGTTTGATGGCCAAATTAGCCACCTGCTTTGGATAATTTCTCACTAAACAAATGGGACTTCCTAGCAAACATGGAAGATGCATGCAAATAAATACTGCCACTGTTAGTACGTGAATGTATTTATCCATAAGTCTTCATTCTTCTTCTTGTTTCTTTCGGTAAAGTCACGTAGAAGGGAAGTAATAAAATAATAAAAATAAAACATAATAAAACAATTCTCACGACGTTTCGGCTACAACGCAAGCAGCCGTCTTCAGGTGAAGAATGAGACACTACCAAACTAGGAGCTTATATATAAGCTGCATTGGGGGTTGAAGAGCGCCTTAACAAAAAGAATGTGCATGTGAAGAGGGATTTAGCATATTCATGGAAAATGCGTAGGCGTTGGGCGGGGGGGTGTCAAAGTCATATTATGCCCATGCATTATGCAGGATCAGCAGCAACCAAGGGGGGGTGCAGGGATTAGCAGTAACAAAGGAAAGGAATGTTAATGATATGTAGCTGCAGTTACTCAACAACCACGTAGAAAACTAAAGTATAAACTACATAAAAAACTAAAGTATAAACTGCATCGCACCATCAGTATACTTACTATACTCTATAATAAGCTGAGTTACTAACAGCAAGTAATACATTACAATTTTACCTCGTAAAAATTCTATAATATGCTTCCATCTAAACCTTATTCTCTTACATCACACGAGCATATACCGTACTATATACTGCCATAGATAAACCCAACATTAAATTATATACTGTATTGCTGTAAACCAACCTATATCTTATACATTTAATATCACACTATGTATTATTCTACACACCCTAATGTGTATCGAAATGGTTTATTACGTCCTTCCAATGATTGCTGAGCCAGAATCCATCTTCTCGGTTAAAGTTGTCTCTGTGTTTGTATATGTGGATCGCCTCATGAACGAATCTCTCATGATAGCCAGATGGCTTGCAGAGAACCTCTGTCTTGGAGAAGTCAATATCATGTGAGCCCACTGAGTTGTAACAGTGATCTGCCACGGCTGAGGTGTTAGTCCTACCGTGTTTCAGGTCAGCTTTATGTTCACGGATGCGGTCCGAGACATGTCGTTTGGTTTCCCCAATGTAACTGCTACCACAGAGGCAACTTAGTTTGTAGACGCCAGGGTACTGTATGTCTGGAACCACATCTTTTACAGACGGTACCAGATCACGGATTTTATGTACTGTGTTGAATCGGACCTGGATCTTGTGTTTAATCAGGATTTTGGAGATCTTTTTTGTGACCCCAGCAATGTAGGGTAAGGTGATGGTCTTGAAAGGCTCCTCAACAGGATCCTTCTTGATGGTTGGAGTGATGGCTTTGCGGATTGTATAGTCGGAGTAACCATTTGCCTTAAGAGCTTGGCGTACGTGTTTGAGTTCACTGGAAATGTGTTCATGGTCGGAGATGCATTGGGCTCTATGATATAGAGTCTTGATGAGGGAATTCTTCTGAGATGGATGGTGGTGGGAATCCGGTTTTAGATAAGCATCCGTGTGGGTGGCTTTCCTGTAGACATTCATTCTTATTAAAACAGGAAGTGAACATTACTTGAGGTAGATGAGAATTCCAGTGGGTGCATGAACAACAAATATAATATTAATATCCTTTATTAAACGAACAAAATACGTTTACCTTCACAACATGGATATATAAGGTGACTAAAGATAGCCCAAACGTAGATGCACGAATAATCAAAAAAATAATCTAGGAAAAAAAAAGATTAATCTAGGAAACAAATCGAAATATGAAGCGCTCACAACTTAAAAACAAAAACCCATCAAAACTAACAACCAAGTGAAGCAATGTGAGCGTAGTCCCGTCGACACACAATCTTACGCCAGACAAAAAGGATAACCACCCCCTTCCCCCCCCCCCCGAGGCAAAGTGAAGATGTGGCAGTGGTAGATTTTAGTGAAGCGGCTTGACACGTACGTACCCGCTCCACGCGAAACGTTCGGATGATGTATTCCGACAGCATCTCCGTGTCTGCCAGTGTCACCTTGATGTCCCCATACACGTCACTGCCATCGGGCCAGTACTTGCAACACTTGATCTGGCGGATAAATACAATGAGCACATACATATTGCTATTGGGTACAACTGTGGGTATAACAATAGTCACAATGGCTGGCAGGTTGCTATTGTTTTTACGATAGGATAGTACATTTCACGATCTATTGATAATGATCACCATCAGTTTGCCTTACCTTTGCAATTGTTTAAGAAAAAAATGTGTATCGTCTAGTTTTGGTGCTGTGATGTACTTCATGTACGAATAAAGATTTATATAATAGTGGATTCGACTGCAATTCACTCAACATATGTCTGCCCTGAGCCTTTTTAATCGCTGTAACTTTACAAGCTATTGTATAATGCTTATGATGTACGTGCTGCCAGAAGTGATGATGTCATATATTGGACACACTGTCAATTATGCCATAAAACACTTTACGAAGAATTCATTTAATAGGTGAGAGCTTGCTTTTACTTTAATTATTGTAAGCTTCATTATTATTTCATGTCAGAAAATGGTAATTGAATGAAAAGTAAATGATTAACGAGAATTACGCCACAACGATATTCTACCGAAAAAAGAACCTTGACAATTATCGTGGACGTTGCATCGTACAAAATCTTGGAGCATCGCTCCATCGCGGCAACCACAGCCATGCGCGTGTGTTCGTTTCATTAAAGGATGTGCAAATGAGATGGAAACATTTGGAGAATACAATAATATCGCATCGTTCAGACCGTAGCTCCTGTATTCAATATCGACGAACCAAAACCATCAACTCTGCAATTTAATTCGCCACCGCAATAGTTACAGCGTAAGAGCATTGAGCTCTGCTGGAGTTTCAAGGCTGGGATAGAATTGCAATGAGCACTTTCAAATTGAAATAGAACGCTGTTTTCATGTCGCTATAATTTTACTTCAATTAAGAATGCTTGTAGATGTGTACACTACACCAGTGCAAAATATTGTATTGAGATCAATTGTTCTGTATTGTGCAATGAAATGTTTTCGGTGATTAATTATTTCACACTCCCATTTGAGAATGACTTCAAAGGTTAACTTTTGCACTGCAGTAGAATTCAATTAATACTAATAAATGCCAAGCATGCTGCTATGTAATGGCAAGCACACTGGACTTTCAATCCAGAGGTCGCCGGTTCAATCTCTCGATGGGGCAGTTGAAACAATGGACACGTTTATTAAATGCCCCCACCACTGTCCACCCAGGAGTATAATTGTGTACACCACACCATTGGAACCTCATTTGCCAGTAAAAATATGATAATTGTTTTTTTACCCTTCTATCTGGTAACAAAACTGACACCTTTTTTACAAGGAGTCATGTTTACATAGACCACAATACCTACCTATACCTAAATGAGTAAAATAATATTTTGAACTGGGTTTATTCTATTTTAGCAATCTCCCTTAGTATCAGCTACAACCCCAATGCAAGCCCTGTTTCACTGGCTTAGTTGATATCTCAAGCAGTCTCCCTACTCCCATCCATGGAGGACAACCTATATTCCAGGATTTTGGTTTCCACTGAGGTGCATTATGGGAAGAATGGAAAGAACAACATGTAACTGGCAAAACACACAACTTTTTGAGATGTAATGTTATGGGGATCTTTTCGGATTTACCAAGGCAGCTACCTAAAAATGGAACTATTCTGGAAAATCAGTACAGGTGGCAACCTTAACCACTCCTTGCCAAAGCCAGCTACAGGCTCGGGGTCCTCTTCACTGCGTAATCACTTCGTCACCAGCAGGTGGCAGCACTGATCCATCTACTATCGTCTCGAAAAGTAAACAAGCAACGTGAAACACGGAGGTAATGGTGGCGCATGTGTTATTATTGCAGGTTGATGTTAAGTTTGAAGTGTTACATTTAGCATTATAAATTTTTATGCCATTTTTCTTTCATGTTTACAAACTGCAGTTCTATGCACTTTTATATTTTATGCCTGTGGCTCTACCCTGGCTGTCAAATATTGCCACGTTATTTAAGATAAAAAAAAATTAGGATGATAAAACCAGAAAATTACATTGATGAACCACGAAAAATTATCGCCGCATAAAACAAAAACCATGCCACATGATGCAATGCATGATAAGCAGTACAATTGTAGAATCTTAAAATTCTTATTTCTGTAATTGTTTAAAATCTTTTTTTTCAAACGAGGCTATAGCAAACAATATATTTAATTAACTTATAAATGTTGTATTGGCCTATCTAAATGCTCAAGCAACACAACAGTGCATCTTTAAAAAACATTTCCATTGCAGTAAATCAGCCAATGGGTAATTTAGTTCTGCATTGATGCAGCATTGTGATTATTTCATGATAAAACAAATGTATATTTTTGAAAGATATACAGCCCTTGGTCAATCCATTGCAAGATGAAGACGTCCCATGGTGTGTTGGCCATGGGGGTTGTTTAACCAAACTTCAGTGCAGGTTGGTGAAGAAGGGGGTGGGAGGGGGGCAGGATTAGTGGCGAGTGTGTTAACTACCTCGCCTGGTATACAGGTCAAGGGTCAAATCCCGACTGCTGCCACCTGTATATTTGGAGTTTGCATGTTGTCAATTCCCCGTGGTCGCATCGATTGTTATCCAATTTCCCCTCCAAATGTATCGACGCTAGAATTTGTTCCGGCCTCTGACCACTTTCTTCTTCTTCTTCCAGCTCCCGCGGAGGACTTCTCAGCGCCTCGCCCCCACTCACACGCAATGCGTGCAGATACTACTGACTCTATTGTGTGTAGGGTGTGTAGATACTACTGACTCTATTGTGTGTAGGGTGTGTAGATACTACTGACTCTATTGTGTGTAGGGTGTGTAGGGTGTGTAGATACTACTGACTCTATTGTGTGTAGGGTGTGTAGACACTACTGACTCTATTGTGTGTAGGGTGTGTAGGGTGTGTTGATACTACTGACTATTGTGTGTAGGGTGTGTAGATACTACTGACTATATTGTGTGTAGGGTGTGTTGATACTACTGACTCTATTGTGTGTAGGGTGTGTAGATACTACTGACTCTATTGTGTGTAGGGTGTGTAGATACTACTGACTCTATTGTGTGTAGGGTGTGTAGATACTACTGACTCTATTGTGTGTAGGGTGTGTAGATACTACTGATGCTATTGTGTGTAGGGTGTGTAGGGTGTGTAGATACTACTGACTTTATTGTGTGCAGGGTGTGTAGGGTGTGTAGACACTACTGACTCTATTGTGTGTAGAGTGTGTAGGGTGTGTAGATACTACTGACTCTATTGTGTGTAGGGTGTGTAGATACTACTGATGCTATTGTGTGTAGGGTGTGTAGGGTGTGTAGATACTACTGACTCTATTGTGTGTAGGGTGTGTAGATACTACTGACTCTATTGTGTGTAGGGTGTGTAGGGTGTGTAGATACTACTGACTCTATTGTGTGTAGGGTGTGTAGATACTACTGATGCTATTGTGTGTAGGGTGTGTAGGGTGTGTAGATACTACTGACTCTATTGTGTGCAGGGTGTGTAGGGTGTGTAGACACTACTGACTCTATTGTGTGTAGGGTGTGTAGGGTGTGTAGATACTACTGACTCTATTGTGTGTAGGGTGTGTAGATACTACTGATGCTATTGTGTGTAGGGTGTGTAGGGTGTGTAGATACTACTGACTCTATTGTGTGCAGGGTGTGTAGGGTGTGTAGATACTACTGACTCTATTGTGTGTAGGGTGTGTAGGGTGTGTAGATACTACTGACTCTATTGTGTGTAGGGTGTGTAGGGTGTGTAGATACTACTGACTATATTGTGTGTAGGGTGTGTTGATACTACTGACTCTATTGTGTGTAGGGTGTGTAGATACTACTGACTCTATTGTGTGCAGGGTGTGTAGGGTGTGTAGATACTACTGACTCTATTGTGTGTAGGGTGTGTAGGGTGTGTAGATACTACTGACTATATTGTGTGTAGGGTGTGTAGGGTGTGTTGATACTACTGACTCTATTGTGTGTAGGGTGTGTAGGGTGTGTTGATACTACTGACTCTATTGTGTGTAGGGTGTGTAGGGTGTGTAGATACTACTGACTCTATTGTGTGTAGGGTGTGTAGATACTACTGACTCTATTGTGTGTAGGGTGTGTAGATACTACTGATGCTATTGTGTGTAGGGTGTGTAGATACTACTGACTCTATTGTGTGCAGGGTGTGTAGGGTGTGTAGACACTACTGACTCTGTTGTGTGTAGGGTGTGTAGGCATGCAGACACTACTGACTCTATTGTGTGTAGGGTGTGTAGGCATGTACATACTACTGACTCTATTGTGTGTAGGGTGTGTAGGCATATAGATACTACTGACTATTGTGTGTAGGGTGTGTAGGCATGTAGATACTACTGACTATTGTGTGTAGGGTGTGTAGGCATGCAGACACTACTGACTCTATTGTGTGTAGGGTGTGTAGGCATGTAGACACTACTGACTCTATTGTGTGTAGGGTGTGTAGGCATGTAGACACTACTGACTCTATTGTGTGCAGGGTGTGTAGGCATGTAGATACTACTGACTCTATTGTGTGTAGGCATGTAGATACTACTGATTCTATTGTGTGTAGGGTGTGTAGGCATGTAGATACTACTGGCTCTATTGTGTGTAGGGTGTGTAGATACTACTGACTATATTGTGTGTAGGGTGTGTTGATACTACTGACTCTATTGTGTGTAGGGTGTGTAGATACTACTGACTCTATTGTGTGTAGGGTGTGTAGATACTACTGACTCTATTGTGTGTAGGGTGTGTAGATACTACTGACTCTATTGTGTGTAGGGTGTGTAGATACTACTGACTATTGTGTGTAGGGTGTGTAGATACTACTGATGCTATTGTGTGTAGGGTGTGTAGGGTGTGTAGATACTACTGACTTTATTGTGTGCAGGGTGTGTAGGGTGTGTAGACACTACTGACTCTATTGTGTGTAGAGTGTGTAGGGTGTGTAGATACTACTGACTCTATTGTGTGTAGGGTGTGTAGATACTACTGATGCTATTGTG